TACATGACTGACCTGGTCTATATGGTAAACAACTACATGACTGACCTTTTCTGTATGATAAACACCTACATGACTGACCTAGTCTATATAATAAACACCTACATGACTGACCTGGTCTGTATGATTAACAACTACATGACTGACCTGGTCTGTATGATAAACACCTAAATGACTGATCTGGTCTGTATGATAAACACTAACATGACAAACTTGGTCTGCATGATAAACACCTACATGACTGACCTGGTCTACATAAAGACCTACATGACTAGCCTAGCCTATATGATAAAGACCTACATGACTGACCTGGTCTATATGATAAACAACTACATGACTGACCTGGTCTATATATTAAACACCTACATAACTGATTTGGTATGCATGATAAACACCTACATGATTGACCTGGTCTGTATGATAAACGCCTACATGACTGACCTGGTCTGTATGATAAACAACTAAATGACTGACCTGGTCTGTATGATAAACACATACATGACCGACCTGGTCTATATGATAAACAACTACATGACTGACCTGGTCTATATGATAAACAACTACATGCCTTACCTGGTCTACATTATGACCTACATGACTGACCTGATCTACATAAAGACCCACATGACTGACCTGGTCTATATGCTTAACACCTAAATGACTGATTTGGTCTATATGATAAACAGCTACATGACTGACATGGTCTGTATGATAAACACCTACATGACTGATCTGGTCTGTGTGATAAACACCTACTTGACTAACTTGGTCTGTATGATAAATACCTACATGACTGACCTGGTATATATGATCAACACCTATATGACTAACTTGGTCTGTATGATAAACACCTACATGACTGACCTGGTCTGTATGATAAACAACTACATGACTGACCTGGTCTGTATGATAAACACCTACATGACTGACCTGGTATATATGATCAACACCTATATGACTAACTTGGTCTGTATGATTAATACCTACATGACTGACCTGGTCTATATGATAAACACCTACTTGACTAACTTGGTCTGTATGATAAACACCTACATGACTGACCTGGTATATATGATCAACACCTATATAACTAACTTAGTCTATATGATAAACATCTACATGACTGACCTGGTCTATATGATAAACACCTACATGACTGACCTGGTCTACATTATGACCTACATGACTGACCTGGTCTACATAAAGACCCACATGACTGACCTGGTCTATATGATAAACAACTACATGACTGACCTTGTCTATATGATACAAAAAAACTACGTGACACACATGGTCTGTATGATTAACACCAAAATGACTGATTTGGTCTATATGATAAACAACTACATGACTGACCTTGTCTATATGATAAAAAAAAACTACGTGACTGACCTGGTCTGTATGATAAACACCTACATGACTGACCTGGTCTGTGTGATAAACACCTACATGACTGACCAGGTCTGTATGATAAACACCTACATGACTGACCTGGTCTGTATGATAAACACCTACATGACTGACCTGGTCTGTGTGATAAACAACTACATGACTGACCTGGTCTATATGATAAAAACTACGTGACTGACCTGGTCTGTATGATCAACACCTACATGACTGACCTGGTCTGTATGATAAACACCTAAATGACTGACCTGGTCTGTGTGATAAACACCCACATGACTGACCTGATCTATATGATAAACACCTACATGACTGACCTGGTCTGTATGATGGTATATATGATAAACACCTACATGACTGACCTGGTTTATATGATCAACACCTACATGACTGACCTGGTATATATGATAAACACCTACATGACTGACCTGGTCTATATGATCAACACCTACATGACTGACCTGGTCTATATGATCAACCCCTACATGACTGACCTGGTATATATGATCAACCCCTACATGACTGACCTGGTATATATGATCAACACCTACATGACTGACCTGGTCTATATAATAAACACCTACATGACTGATTTGGTCTGGATGATAAACACCTACATGATTGACCTGGTCTGTATGACAAACGCCTACATGACTGGCCTGGTCTACATAAAGACCTACATGACTAGCCTAGCCTATATGATAAAGACCGACATGACTGACCTGGTCTAGATGATAAACAACTACATGATGACTGACCTGATCTATATGATCAACACCTACATTACTGACCTGGTATATATCATCAACCCCTATATGACTAACTTGGTCTGGATGATCAACACCTACATGATTGACCTGGTCTGTATGACAAACGCCTACATGACTGGCCTGGTCTATATGATAAACACCTACATGACTGACCTGGTATATATCATCAACACCTATATGACTAACTTGGTCTGTATGATCAACACCTACATGACTGACCTGGTATATATCATCAACACCTATATGACTAATTTGGTCTGTATGATTAACACCTACATGACTGACCTGGTCTGTATGATAAACACTTACATGACTGACCTGGTCTGTATGATAAACAACTACATGACTGACCTGGTCTATATGATAAACACCTACATGACTGACCTTGTCTGTATGATAAACACCTACATGACGGACCTGGTCTACATAAAGACCCACATGAATGACCTGGTCTATATGATCAACACCTACATGACTGACCTGGTATATATCACCAACACCTATATGACTAATTTGGTCTGTATGATTAACCCCTACATGGCTGACCTGGTCTGTATGATAAACACTTACATGACTCACCTGGTCTGTATGATAAACAACTACATGACTGACTTGGTCTATATGATAAACAACTACATGACTGACCTGGTCTATATGTTAAACAACTACATGACTGACCTGGTCTATATGATAAACACCTACATGACTGACCTGGTCTGTGTGATAAACACCTACTTGACTAACTTGGTCTGTATGATTAACACCTACATGACTGACCTGATCTATATGATAAACACCTACATGACTGACCTGGTCTGTATGATAAACACCTACATGACGGACCTGGTCTACATAAAGACCCACATGACTGACCTGGTCTATATGATCAACACCTACATGACTGACCTGGTATATATGATCAACACCTACATGACTGACCTGGTCTGTATGATAAGCAACTACATGACTGACTTGGTCTGTATGATAAACACCTACATGACTGACCTGGTATATATGATAAACACCTACATGACTGACCTGGTTTATATGATCAACACCTACATGACTGATCTTGTCTGTGTGATAAACACCTACTTGATTAACTTGGTCTGTATGATAAACACCTACATGACTGACCTGGTCAATATGATAAACATCTACTTGACTGACTTGGTCTGTATGACAAACAACGACATGACTGACCTGGTCTATATGATGAACAACGACATGACTGACCTGGTCTGTATGATCAACACCTACATGACTGAACTGGTCTGTATGATTAACACCTACATGACTGACTTGGTCTGTATGATGAACAACAACATGACTGATCTGGTCTGTATGATAAACGCCTACATGACTGACCTGGTCTATATGATAAACAACTACATGAATGACCTTGTCTATATGATAAACAACTACAGGACTGACCTGGTCTAAATGCTAAACACCTTCATGACTGAGTTTGTCTATATGATCAACACCTACATGACTGAACTGGTCTGTATGATTAACAACTACATGACTGACCTGGTCTGTATGATAAACACTTACATGACTAGCTTGGTCTTTATGATAAACAACTACATGACGGACCTTGTCTTTATGATAAACAACTACATGACTGACCTGGTCTGTATGATAAACACTAACATGACTAACTTAGTCTATATGATAAACATCTACATGACGGATCTGGTCTGTATGATAAACACCTACATGACTGACCTGGTCTGTATGATAAACAACTACATGACGGACCTTGTCTGTATGATAAACACTAACATGACTAACTTAGTCTATATGGTAAACACCTACATGACTGACCTGGTCTGTATGATAAACACCTACATGACTGACCTGGTCTACATTAAGACCTACATGACTGACCTGGTCTGCATAAAGACCTACATGACTAGCCTAGCCTATATAATAAACAACTACATGACTGACCTTGTATATATGATAAACAACTACAGGACTGACCTGATCTATATGATTAACACCTAAATGACTGATTTGGTCTGCATGATAAACACCTACATGACTGACCAGGTCTTTATGATAAACACTAACATGACTAACGTTGTCTATATGATAAACAACTACATGACTGGCCTGGTCTATATGATAAACAACTACATGACTGACCTGGTATATATGATAAACACCTACTTGACTAACTTGGTCTGTATGATAAACACCTACATGACTGAACTGGTCTGTATTATAAACGCCTACATGACTGACCTTGTTTATATGATAAACACCTACATGACTAATCTGGTATATATGATAAACACCTACATGACTGATCATGGTCTGTATGATGAACACCTACATGACTGACCTGGTCTGTGTGATAAACAACTACATGACTGACCTAGTCTGTATGATAAACAACTACATGACTGACCTGGTCTGTATGATAAACACTAACATGACTAACGTGGTCTATATAATAAACACCCACATGACTGACCTGGTCTGTATGATAAAGACCTACTTGACTAACTTGGTCTGTATGATAAACACCTACATGACTGACCTGGTCTATATGATAAACACCTATATGACTGGTATGGCCTGTGTTGTAAACGCTTAAACCAGATCAGTACGTGATGTCATTTGATTCATTTCTCATTATTTACACAAAAACAACTCACATAAGTAAAACATGGTGCTTTAAACAACACATAGACATAAGATAATCAGTTCTTGCCGTACGAACAATACGCGGTCCAGGCCCCTGGGTTTTTATCATAAAGGATCCCTCAATTTGAATGACACAATCTTTCATAAAAAACAGTAGATCTATTGGGAATCATTTACCTTTTATTAAAAATGAAGCAATATATGACAAAATGTTACAGAGTTCGGTTATCATCTCTCTGATCCACTCTGTTGAGACTCTTTACACTTCTTACTTAGACCAGGAAAAGTTTCTCTCTCCATTGACTGCTTACAGCAATACACACCCGAAGTGAATAGTCTTTTGCACTGTGAGCGAAAGTTTGTATTGAGAAAACTATACACAAAAGGGTTAGCAGAGTTAGAGATTAGGTAAGTCCTGGTTAATAATTTCATCACGACCTCCTCGCGCGGTGTCATGGACGAGTTGTAATCTGGCTTCACCGCTCTGAAGATGTTGATTACTATTCCGGGGAGATAACTCACAATAAAAACTATGCTAACAGAAAAAAAAATGAGAGTAGTACGGCTCAGTTTTATTTGAGGAGGTGTTTCTCCGATACTGGCCAGTCTTTTAGATTTTTTGAACATTTCCGTATTAGTTTGACTATTTGAACCTGACTCGTCATCACTCGTGCTATGCCTGCTGACCTTGAACTTCCTTTTTACTGCTGGTGACTTTGGAGAAGTCACGTGATCAGATATAACTGTGTCACGACGACGTTTAATTTCTATCCATAGTCTTACATAGAACCCGATCATACACGAAAGCGCTGTGATGAACATGACTATGAGTACGGTAAAGTAGACCTGTTGGAAAGGACGGCCCTTGTAGTCCTCATCAATGGAACAATCGTAACCGCGCAAACCAATCACAGGCGTGTCCGAGCACGTGATCCCAAACAGCACGAGGGTCGGGATAGAGAAGATGACTGCTAGAAATCCCGCTACGCCACACATAAGTTTGATTCGAGAAAATGGTAGTATTCTCAGCGGCTTGCAAATTTTGAAATATCTATCAAACGCTATCAGCACCAGTATAATGGCTGAGCCATACACAGTGACAGACTCGGCGAACCTGAAGAGCTTACAGATTGGGCCGCTGTAGAACATGTAAGGATTGCTTAGGTCCAGTATCTCAACTGGCATGGCGATCACACAACTCAAAAGGTCAAAGATGGCCATGGTGCCGATGAAGAGATTGGCAGACCGCCGTTTTAATCTCCAGTTGTAGATGTAGATGACAAGAATGTTTCCGACGGTACCAATGACCATAAGTACGGCCACAGAGACGATGACCGGAAGATAAAGAGTGGCCTTCTCGTCGTTGAGTTTGTTGAGCAATGCCCATCCGTAAGATGTGTTCGTGTCCACCGTATGGTTGGTGGGTCCGCACCACAGGTGATCAGAGCTAAGGGAACACAATAGAAATATGTAATGATGAGGTTTGTTGATACACTGTACAAGACATCATTATATTTGACAATTGCATTAAATCAGGAGGGAAGTAATAGTCAATAGTATAGACAGGCTTACTACCCGTGTACTCTGAATTTGATTACAAATGATTAATACAATGTAACAAGAAATCGCAAATTAATTAAAAAGCAGCTACAGAGAGTTAAAGTTTGAGGCAGATTTGACTGTATATTTGTAGTGAAGTGTAGCTAAAATCAGTTTATCTCTGTGGCAGGTTTGACTAGTTACATGTGTATTCAAAGGGTCTCTTAGTTAGGTTTACATACATATCTGATTTTACCACGAAATTGGAAAATGAGCAACGATTTGACACCAATCTCTCTACCAATGTAGATAATAATTCCTAATAGTATTTTGTTTCATAAACGTCAATATTTACGGATGTTATAAAATTATTGGCCACCTACCTGGTCATGATGATATAGTGATTTTGTAGACAAATCGCGTCCTAACCTTGTTGAACCATCTCCTTAAATGACGAGTTATCAGAAGAGTTCCCGATTTAAACAACTACTACAAAAAGCTGCTTAGATATCCGGTGACCAAAGTCTGTTTACATACGTCCACTGTCCTCGCTACCACAAAGCTCCAAGTGACAAGGTGGGACGCGACAGCGCGCATGCGGATCAGTAGCAATACCCACGGTCTGCTGACCGCAGGTAGCGCTAAACACTTCCGGTGCAGGGCGTGAAAAACAGAAACAATATTGTGTATTTATAACACTGTTACCCCATCACAAAATCCTTGTTTTGTCTAAGCGTATAATTCTCACGACCGTAAACAATGATTCTGTTTCAGCGGCGACTGACTATGATGAAGTGAACTGCTGTGGCAGTCGCTTTGTTAATGGATGGACACGGTCATGTAATGGAAACATTATTGGTGTTACGGCGAATTGATTGAGGCCGCACGTGGGTTAATGCCGTTACTACACTGATTATAGGCGCGGGACAAAGTGCTAATGTTACACACACACATATATACATTGTAACATGTGCTGAGGGAATACGAACCACGCTGACACACTATCAATATAAATCATAAAAAATATGATATGATGAAAAATATGTTTAACGACATAATTCGAGATGTACCATTTGTTTTTCCGGACTTATATGTATCGGATATAGGGTCAATATCGTAACTAACACCATTATCAATTAACGTTATCCATCACTTCACAAAATAAAAGGATGCTGTTGCTAAATCGGAAAGAAAACATAAACTCTGTATTCGTAATTATAATATAGATATGTAACGAAGCCATGCAGTACCGACATACACATATGTTGTAGATGAGTTGAATGACATCAGAAGGGATCAGTGTTATCGTTAAAAGATCATTATCTGTTACAACATGTATATTAAGCAATTGGTACCAATTTAAGAGTTAATTTATCAACTGACGTTATCATTAACAAACCTATTTATGAGTTATTACTTTGAACAATTTATCGTTTGTGTAACTTTGTGAAAACAGTGTAAAGGGATATAACGAGATGTGAATGTCTGTGATACGTCTGGCAGATCGATTAGGAAACATATGTGTCTGTCAGATTAAAATCAATGAGACGACGGGTCCATGTAATGTGATACAGGGATTGTTTGTGGTAATTGATACAGATGTTTGTCTTTGTCAAAAAAGTTCAAAGGGATGATCCTCTGGTACATTATCGTAGTTGTCGATGGATCGTAAGTATCGGTGATGATAATGTTTGTGTTAAGTGATAGTGATGTTTGTGTTAAGTGATAGTGATGTTTATGTTAAGTGATAGTGATGTTTATGTTAAGTGATAGTGATGTTTGTGCTAAGTGATAGTGATGTTTGTGTTAAGTGATAGTGATGTTTGTGTTAAGTTATAATAATGTTAAGTGATAGTAATGTTTGTGTAAAGTGATAGTGATGTTTATGTTAAGTGATAGTGATGTTTGTGCTAAGTGATAGTGATGTTTGTGTTAAGTGATAGTGATGTTTGTGTTAAGCTATAGTAATGTTAAGTGATAGTAATGTTTGTGTTAAGTGATAGTAATGTTTGTGTTAAGTGATAGGGTAATGTTTGTGTTAAGTGATAGTAATGTTTGTGTTAAGTGATAGTGATGTTTATGTTAAGTGATAGTAATGTTTGTGTTTAGTGATAGTGATATTTGTGTTAAGTGATAGTGATGTTTGTGTTATGTGATAGTGATGTTTGTGTTAAGTGATAGTGATGTTTGTGTTAAGTGATAGTAATGTTTGTGTTAAGTAATAGTAATGTTTATGCTAAGTGATATTAATGTTTGTGTTAAGTGATATTGATATTTGTGCTAAGTAATAGTAATGTTTATGCTAAGTGATATTAATGTTTGTGTTAAGTGATAGTGATATTTGTGTTAAGTTATAGTAATGTTAAGTGATAGTGATGTTTGTGTTAAGTGATAGTACTGTTTGTATTAATTGATAATGATGTTTGTGTTAAGTGATAGTAATGTTTGTGTTAAGTGAGAGTAGTGTTTATGTTAAGTGATAGTGATGTTTGTGTTAAGTGATAGTGTTGTTTGTATTAAGTGATAGTAACGTTTGTGTTAAGTGATAGTAATGTTTGTGTTAAGTGAGAGTAGTGTTTATGTTAAGTGATAGTGATGTTTGTGTTAAGTGATAGTGTTGTTTGTATTAAGTGATAGTGATGTTTGTGTTAGGTGATAGTGATGTTTTTGTTAAGTGATAGTGTTGTTTGTATTAAGTGATAGTAACGTTTGTGTTAAGTGATAGTAATGTTTGTGTTGAGTGATAGTGGTCTTTGTTTTAAATGATAGTGATGATTGTCTTAAGTGATAGTTGTATTTGTGTTTATTGATAGTGATGTTTGCGTTAAGTAATAGTAATGTTTGTCTTAAGTAATAGTAATGACTGTGTTAAGTGATAGTAATATTTGTCTTAAGTAATAGTAATGACTGTGTTTAGTGATAGTGATGTTTGTGTTGAGTAATAGTGATGTTTGTGTTAAGTAATAGTAATGACTGTGTTTAGTGATAGTAATGACTGTGTTAAGTGATAGTGATGTTTGTGTTAAGTAATAGTGATGTTTTTGTTAAGTGATAGTGATGTTTGTGTTAAGTGATAGTGATGTTTGTGTTAAGTGATAGTGATATTTGTGTTTATTGATAGTAATGTTTGTGTTTAGTGATAGTGATGTTTGTGTTAAGTGATAGTAACGTTTGTTTTAAGTAATATAGTAATGTTTGTGTTAAGTAATAGTAATGTTTGTGTTGAGTGATAGTGGTCTTTGTTTTAAATGATAGTAATGATTGTGTTTAGTGATAGTAATGTTTGTGTTAAGTAATAGTAATGACTGTGTTTAGTGAGTGATGTTTGTGTTAAGTAATAGTAATTATTGTGTTTAGTGATAGTGATGTTTGTGTTAAGTAATAGTGATGTTTGTGTTAAGTTATAGTAATGTTTGTGTTAAGTGATAGTGGTCTTTGTTTTAAATGATAGTAATGACTGTGTTTAGTGATAGTAATGTTTGTGTTAAGTAATAGTAATAACTGTGTTTAGTGATAGTGATGTTTGTGTTAAGTAATAGTAATGACTGTGTTTAGTGATAGTGATGTTTGTGTTAAGTAATATAATAATGTTTGTGTTAAGTATTAGTAATGACTGTGTTTAGTGATAGTAATGACTGTGTTAAGTGATAGTGATGTTTGTGTTAAGTGAAAGTGATATTTGTGTTAATTGATAGTAATGTTTGTGTTAAATAATAGTGATATTTGTGTTAAGTGATAGTGATGTTTGTGTTAAGTGATAGTAATGTTTGTGTTAAATAATAGTGATGTTTGTGTTAAGTGATAGTAATGTTTGTGTTAAGTGATAGTAATGTTTGTGTTGAGTGATAGTGGTCTTTGTTTTAAATGATAGTGATGATTGTCTTAAGTGATAGTTGTATTTGTGTTTATTGATAGTGATGTTTGCGTTAAGTGATAGTGATGTTTGTGTTAAGTAATAGTGATGTCTGTGTTAAGTAATAGTAATGTTTTGTTAAGTAATAGCAATGCTTGTGTTAAGTGATAGTGGTGTTTGTGTTAAGTGATAGTAATGTTTGTGTTAAAGAATAGTGATGTTTGTGTTAAGTAATAGCAATGCTTGTGTTAAGTGATAGTGGTGTTTGTGTTAAGTGATAGTAATGTTTGTGTTAAATAATAGTGATGTTTGTGTTAAGTGATAGTAATGTTTTTGTTACGTGATAGTAATGTTTGTGTTAAGTGATAGTGATGTTTGTGTTAAGTAATAGTGATGTTTGTGTTAAGTAATAGTAATGACTGTGTTTAGTGATAGTAATGACTGTGTTAAGTGATAGTGATGTTTGTGTTAAGTAATAGTTATGTTTTTGTTAGGTGATAGTGATGTTTGTGTTAAGTGATAGTGATATTTGTGTTTATTGATAGTAATGTTTGTGTTAAATAATAGTGATATTTGTGTTAAGTGATAGTGATGTTTGTGTTAAGTGATAGTAATGTTTGTGTTAAATAATAGTGATGTTCGTGTTAAGTGATAGTAATGTTTGTGTTAAGTGATAGTAATATTTGTGTTGAGTGATAGTGGTCTTTGTTTTAAATGATAGTGATGATTGTCTTAAGTGATAGTTGTATTGGTGTTTATTGATAGTAATGTTTGTGTTAAGTGATAGTAATATTTGTGTTGAGTGATAGTGGTCTTTGTTTTAAATGATAGTGATGATTGTCTTAAGTGATAGTTGTATTTGTGTTTATTGATAGTAATGTTTGCGTTAAGTGATAGTGATGTTTGTGTTAAGTAATAGTGATGTCTGTGTTAAGTAATAGTAATGTTTTGTTAAATAATAGCAATGTTTTTGTTAAGAGATAGTAGTGTTTGTGTTTAGTGATAGTGATGTCTGTGTTAAGTTATATCAGCGTTTGTGTTAATTGATAGTGATGTCTGTGTTAAGTGATAGTAATGTTTGTGTTAAGTGATAGTGATGTTTGTGTTTAGTGATCGTAATGTTTGTGTTAAGTGAAAGTGATGTTAGTGTTAAGTGAGAGTGATGTTTGTGTTAAGTGATAGTAATGTTTGTGTTAAATGATAGTAATGTTTGTGTTAATTAATAGTGGTGTTTGTGTTATGTAATAGAAATGTTTGTGTTTAGTGATAATGATGTTTGTGTTAAGTGATAGTGATGTTTGTGTTAAGTGATAGTAATATGTTTTTAGTGATAGTGTTGTTTGTGTTAAGTGATCGTAATATTTTGTTAAGTAATAGTGATGCTTGTGTTAGTGATTGTGATGTCTGTGTTAAGCGACAAAGTTATTAAAATATGTTATTGTTAAGTGATAGTGTGGTTTGTGTTAAATGATAATGACGTTTGTGTTTAGTTATTAAAATATGTTTGTGTTAAGGATGTACTCTTCTGAGGTTCAATCACGTTCAAGTCTCGTTTTGATCTGGTGTAACGGGTTAACAAATTATGATCAAGTTTATTAGCAAACACGTATCTGACAAAATATGTCAAAAAACTAGATGTCTGTTGTATGTAGAACTTTTTTTACAAGAATTTTAAAAATATACGAATTCGGCGGCCATTTTGAAAATGAGTATTAATGTGTATTTCTTGGGCTCCAAAAAAGGCAAAAAAATCACCTTTTCTGACACTAGATTGATCACTTAAGTTGTCATTGTGTCGCCATTTTAAATTATAGCAGGTTCAATCTTGCTGTACAACTTTATAATGTTTAATATGATAAAAATAACATGCAACAAACTGGAAAATTATTCATTATTGATAAAAAAAAATACACATTTAGTGTAACTGAAGCACTTTTAATTTTTGACCGCGAAAAAGGTAAAAAAAATA